AAAAAAAAAAAAAAAAAAATAAATAAAAAACCCACAACCGAGGGAGAAAAGTGTGCTGTTGAAACACTATTCCTACGAGTTATACCCAAGAACTGCACGGAGATCGCTGCTGAATGGCACTTCAGCCAGGACGTTTCAGCTCAGCCATTCGCCCCCATCCTGACCCCGGAGTCAGACCCTCTCAGCCCATCCCCACTGCTCAGTGCGGCAGGTCCACACCGCAGGCGAGCGCGCAGGTGAGGGAGCATCTATGCTCTGCAGTGAGCCGGGTCCCCTCTGCACACCCACCCCTGTTTCGCGGGGTTGGGGCCATGCCCTTCCGCTCCACACACAAGCTTCTTCTCTAGACACCCCACAAAAACTTCCCCATTAGAAAACGCTGCCATGAGGGGCCTTCTTACAAGAATTCGAGTTTAGCCAGAGCTGACGGGTCACATTGGCCGCTCACGCAGTGCTACGACGCACAAAGCCACCACTGAAGTGAATGGGAGTTGTGGCCAGGGCAGAGCTCAGAGAAGAACTGGCATTGGAGCAAGACTCCCACATTTCCAAAATAAATATCTCCAGTTTTATAAATGGAGAAAAAAAAAAAAAAAAAAAAAAAAAAAAAAAAAGACTTGAAACTTAAAGTCCAGCAGAAATAATAATTGACGTGGCTTCTCTTGCATATCCTTTTCTGTCCTGTAAACAGTGAATTAATCTTCATGGGCTTAGAAAGATATGTGCTACATATTGGACGCAACATTTCCTTTTTTGGTAGAACTGTATATCCACGGCATTAAAAAAAATTATAATATAAATCCTAAGTTTGTGCACAGAGCTTTATCCTGCACCCGTGACAAATGACTGTTAAATCTAGATCATCAAACTTTTTAAAAGCATGCTTCTCTTGGCGCTAGCCCTTTGCTCAGAAATGAAAAAAGATAAAACGTTTATTTTCTTCCCTGCTACATTTTCATCCCTGATCACAACGCAAAGTAAACTCAGCTTTGACCTAAGAAACACCTCAACGCATTAAAATTTCAACAGGCAATGTCAGTGTTACATTAAACGAGAACTCCTCCAGTTCTCTGCAGAGCTGGGATTTGAATAAAACGTTCAATGTTAACAAACAATACACACGTTTGGCACTTTGTGTATTAAATGGATCAAAGCGATTTGATAAGGCACAATACACCATTTGTACAGACCTGATTGAGTTAATATAATATCAGCAAATTTTACAGCGAAATGAATCTGTTTCTTTTCTTTGTGTTTAAAACCAGCACAGATTACAAATTTTAATGATCTGAAAATGTTTGGTATACAAAATCATGCTTATTTCAGTATTAGCAAAAACACAAGAAATTTTTCAACACAAACACCCAGCTGTGTCTATTTTAAAAGCAGTTCAATGACAGCTTGCACTTATGAGCATGCAATCAGCTAATTTCGCTTTTTTTTTCTTCTGTGTTAATCAACACTTTCCTTCCTGCATATCAGAGTACAAATAGTATAGTTACTCCACATCAGTAAATGTTTACGTAACCTGTCCTTTCTCAAGAATCCGGTTACACCGAATCATTACATGCTAGACCGAGTAGGGAAACGCACTGGGCCCAGCCACCCTAATGGGATCCTAGTGCACCATAATGACACGTATTAGTTAATGATCATCATAATCATAATAATATGCAGGATCTTACCTTTCCTCTTACCCCTTGCCATGGTAGAGTCAAGTCATATCCTCCACATTGCACTCATCCTCGAGAATTCCCATACATTGACTTCAGTGTTGAGCAATGAAATCATTACAAATTGACATGATTATTTTTTTAAAAAAACAAAAAAAAAAAAAAAAAAATAAAAAATAAGCGTGGTCGATCATTGACTTTTATCTCTGTTTTTGTCAGCAGCAACCTGTTATGAAATTGGATAAATAAATACAATTGTGGTAAGGTCATTCGAGGTTAATCCAATGTGCACAGAGTTCATGCCATTCCCAATTGCAATTGTTTATTACCAGTCCATTGTAATTGTTCTCGTTATTTACTCTCGCTTTCTCGCACTTGCTCTCCCTCTCTCACAGACACACACATACACATACAAACACATATATAAAACGCACATCTACACACAACCACGTTTGCTGCACGGAGCTCTAACCTGGATTTTCCCGGGATAAATTGTTTTAGCTGGGCTTGAGCTGCACGTAATATTTCTGCGGCACATTTACCGCAGCACAACCGTAAACTTTGGGTAGCTTAACGCGGCGCTATACGTTGCCTTTGCCTACAGCTTCGGTTTGAATGGGATCAGCACGCTCTCTACCCGTTACATTTCCCCTTCTACTTCCCAAGTAAGAAAGCTGCGCGATTTATTTCGCTTTGTTTAGGGGCTGATTTTTCTCCCCATGCTGACGGTGAGAAACGACGTGATGCGGGTGATTAAGACCCAGTCCCGCGGTCCCGGGAAGCCGCAGTCGTGAGCCCGCGCCCCTGCCGCCGCGAGTAGCCGAAGGGCGCTGGGCGGGGAGCGCCGGTCCCGCATCGCTCCATCGGCCTCGGGGGCACCCGAGCCGCTGCCCCCCGCCCTCTCCCCCTACCTTCAGCCAGACTAAATCCCGCGGAACCGAGACCCCGTGGCCGGACACCGCTGGCCGGGCAGGGCCAGGTCGAGTCGGGGGGGGCGGCAAGAAATCGCGACATATTTCACGAGGTTATTAATGCTGTTATTTATTTTTTTGTACACCTGACACGCGGCCTGCGCTTTTATGGCTGAAACC